AGAAGCCAGAAGAACGCAGCGGACCTATCGCAGGGTGCTGGTAGGGAACCCCCACCCCTCTGTATGTGGCCTTAGATAGGGCTAACAAGTTCGTAAGAACGCCCCTGTAAACTGCTCTGAGACCCGTTAGGGGTTATGAGCGGTATATAAGTCTCATGTAAATAAATAAATAAATATTACATAGATGCTTTTATTGAAAAATATGCAGATTTGCTTTTTATTAACATTAAATTAGACTGTGTGAAAGAGCTGCAGTTTGGCCACCCCGGGTGTACGCTTATGCTGCGGAGAGGAGCCACATCAGAATTTCAGATCTAAGGTCAACCCACCTCACCTCCAGGAACATATGTAAACCCAGACACTGCTAGATGGTGGTCAGCAGCAGGATTATGTGTCAGACGGGTGTGTCTCAAGCGGGGTTCCAGAAGCCTTCGGCAGAGGGGGGGGGGATGGTGAGGCCAAGGGCTTTGCCAGGACAGAATGAGAGCCCTGCGCGTGCCCTTTGGACATGCAGCCCGCTCTGCTTCCTCAGAAAGAGAGCAAGGCACGGGGACGGAACCAGCAGTCCTCTTTCAAAGGGTGTGGTGCACACAGCTGCCCCTGTCTCTGGTCACGCAGAACGCAAGCCAGAGAACACGCCAATGCCTCCCTGGGAACCAAAAGCTCAACCCTGGCAACTCTGAGGGCTTGAGTGGCACCAAAGGCCCCAGTGCAGCCATCAACGTGACTTCCAGCACAGACAACCCATAGACAACGGCTGTTTTTGCTAGAAGGAGGAGGAGGAGGAGGAGGAGGAGGAGATAGGATTTATACCCCATGGCCCTTCACTACCCAAAGGTGTCTCAGAGCGGCTGACAAACTCCTTTCCCTTCCCCTCCCCACCACAGACACCCTGTGAGGTGGGTGGGGCTGAGAGAGTTCTGACAGAAACTGCTCTTTTTCAAGGACAGCTCTTATCAGAGCTACGGCTTGCCCAAGGTCATCCAGCAGGTGCAAGGGGAGGAGTGGGGAATCAAACCTGGTTCTCCCAGATTAGAGTCCGCGCACTTAACCACTACACCAAACTGGCAGAAGTTCTGGTTGTGTGTGGTGCTGAGCAGCTCTGAACACTTTTCCTGCCCCTTCTTGGCCCTCTTCAGATGTTATTAACTAATAAGAAGATTCTCACTGTCTCCAGTGCAAAGACACAATGCAGTTGACTAGTTCACCTGATGAGAACTGGGGTCAAGACCTTCTCAGTTGTGTCCCTGTCTGACCAGCTACCCTCTGGTACCGTACCTCGCAGGACGTGCACCAGCATTAACATTTTTCTTAAAACTCACTTTTATAGCATAGCTGATGAAGGTATCACTGTATTCTTTTGAGCAGGGCTTTTTTTGTAGAAAAAGCCCAGCAGGAACTAATTAGCATAATAGGCCACACCCAACAGCAGAAACCTATTAGGCACACCCCTGACAGTGCAGCTCATTAGCATATTAGGCCACACCCTGTGCTTTCCCTTGACTTGCCTGGACGCCCCAGGCTGCAGGGAGCCCGGGCAAGCCGGCCCTTGGACAGGCTGGGGAAGGCACGAGGAGGCATTTAAATGCCTCCCCGATCCTTTCAGGGGGGGCCTGGCCCGCCCGTCTCGGAGTCGCCGGGGGGGGGGTTTGCTCTCCAGGCCTTCCCTCTGTAGCCAGGCACGCAGAGGTTTTGGCTGTAGTGGGCGTGGCCAACCCTGAAGCCAGCCGGAACTCCGTTCCTGTGCGTTCCTGCCCAAAAATAGCCCTTGAGGATACAAGACAAAAGTCTCCTCCAAATGTATGTGGCTTGACTTGCCCTTGGAAAATGGAAACGAGGAGGGCTTCAGGGTCCGCAAAAGATCAAAATCAAAGTGTGGGTCCGCAGCCTGTGGAAACTGGGGAACTGCTGAGGCCGTGTAATGATACCAGGCACAGCCAGATTGCCAAAAGTAGAGCCCTGGACTCCCAACCGCAAGGGACGCAAACGGGATCCGTCACAAGCAGAGGGGAAGCCCCAGGCATGCCACCAAAGACAGAACTCCCAATTGGAACAAAAGGGGGCAGGGATCCCCCAAGCCACAGCAAGCAGTTCTCCCCCTCCCAGCCTCCCAAAGGTCTCCTGATGCCTTCAGGTGGCCCCACCCATTCTAACTGGCCATCCCTTTCCTGCAGCCCTACCCTACCCCCACCTCTCCCTTCCAACACGACCCCCAAACTCTGCTCTTCGAGGAAGCCTCTGGCTTAATCTCATGCTAAATTTGCAGATGGCACAAAGTTTTCTCAGTGGAGGGTGGTAAGCAGTGGGGTACCGCAGGGATCAGTACTTGGTCCACTGCTTTTTAACTTGTTCATTAATGATTTGGAGATGGGAGTAAGCAGTGAAGTGGCTAAATTTGCGGATGATATGAAGTTGTTCAGGGTGGTGAAAACCAGTGAGGATTGTGAGGCACTCCAAAGGGATCTGTCAAGGATGGGCGAGTGGGCGTCAACATGGCAAATGGGGTTCAATGTGGCCAAGTGCAAGGTGATGCACATTGGAGCCAAAAATCCTAAATATAAATACACATTGATGGGGTCTGAACTGGCAGAGACTGATCAAGAGTTGGATCTTGGAGTTGTAGTAGATAATTCACTGAAAATGTCGAGACAGTGTGTGACTGCAATAAAGAAGGCCAATGCTATGCTGGGGATTATTAGGAAGGGTATTGAAAACAGATCAGCCAATATCATAAGGCCCCTATATAAATCAATGGTGCGACCTCATTTGGAATACTGTGTGCAGTTCTGGTCACCGCACCTTAAAAAGGATATTATAGCTTTGGAAAAAGGGCAGAAAAGGGCAACTCGAATGATAAAAGGGTTGGAACACTTTCCCTATGAGGAAAGGTTAAAGTGCTTAGGGCTCTTTAGCTTGGAGAAACGACGACTGAGGGGTGACATGATTGAGGTTTATAAGATTATGCATGGGATAGAGCAGGTAAAGAAAGAGGTACTTTTCTCCCTTTCTCACAATACAAGAACTCGTGGGCACTCCATGAAACTGCAGAGCGGTCGGGTTAGAACGGATAAAAGGAAGTACTTCTTCACCCAAAGAGTGATTAACACGTATAGATAGGGGCTCTGGGGCAAGTGACGCTCTGTCTTCTTGGTGCTTGGGGGGGGGGGGTCAACAGTGGGAGGGCTTCTAATGTCCTGGCCCCACTGGTGGACCTCCTGATGGCACCTGGTATTTTTGGCCACTGTATGACAGAGTGTTGGACTGGATGGGGCTTGGGTCTGATCCAACATTGGCGTCTCTTATGTTCTTATAAAGCTACCCACATGGCAGTGCATGGCCTGCCCCCCAACCCTACCCCCCTGCAGATCCCACTCACTGTCAAGAGCTGGACTGAGCTCTGCAGGGCAAGGACCTGCCTTTCTTCTGATGTGGCTTCACTGAATTCCATTCACAGGGATGATGCAAAACTAAAAGCTGACTCAGTTCTAAGTTCAGGTGACAAATGTTGAACCCTGGAAGGAACCACCACACAGACAAGCCTAGGAACCAAGACAGCCGACGTGCATGTCATGGTCCTCATTCACTGTGGCATCCAGTGCTGATTTCCATGAGTGAAAGAGCAATTACAGATGTGCCAGACCTTTCACAGCACCCAGTAACAAACAAGAGCCAAAACATATGTTACACAGGAGACCACAAGAACTTCCAATGCATCCTTCAGTGGCAAAGATTTTTTTCCAAAATTCCACAATCCACAGGGACAGTCCCAGTGCAGACCTTGGGAAGGGTCCCCCCCAAAACACACACACACACACACACACACACACACAAAGGTTCAGGAGCGTGACAATTATCACACCCAGACCTGGCCTCATCCAGAAAGGTAATCAGACTAAAGCCATGCTATGTTCATTTCTGTAGAACACGTTTCACACTTCTTGAGCCTAGCAGAAAATGCTTGTGTGCACATGCATGCATATTATACTGAAAAAACACACTGCAAGAACAGAGATAAATCAATGCAAAATGTCACCCATGGTGGTGGTGGTGGGGGAGAGAATATTTTGAATTTTTAATACTTAAAGCTCCACCATCCAAAGTGGTGTTCTGTTTTGGTCTGAGGTTTTGTTTTGAAGAATACCCCGGGGCTCCCTGGAAGGTCCTCGGGTCCCCTGGCTCAGCACCAGCTCGAGCTTGGCAGCCGGGAGAACCCTCCTGCGCGGAGTCAAGGCGGCCAGACTTTAAAATCAGCTCAAGCTGAAAATGACTGGCTGGTCTGGCAAACTCACGGTGGTGCAGCTGAGGACCCTCCCCAGTGTTTCTTGCTGAGGCCGGCTGACATGTGGAATGAGAATATCAACCTCAACCGTGGTGGACGGCAGTTTCTGCACAAGACTTTCTCAAAGACACACTCAACTTCCTGCAACATGCACATTTGGTTAAAACAGTGGATTAACGATCAAGTGATTTCTTCATTAGATCAATAGATGCAGCAGGAACACAATTTGAAGTATTGTGCCAAACGAAGAATGCTGAAGAATTGGCCTCTGTGCAATTCAATGAAAGAGACAGAGGTGTTTTTTGACATAACTAGGATCAAAGTACTCTTATTCTCAGTCATTTAAGCTGAGGTTGTGCCTTGACTCTGCAATAAACAAGGTTCACGTCCATTCACCTCGGCTCGTAATTCTCTGTTACATACCTTCTGATTAATAGAACTTTGTAACTGCAAATATTGAAATAAATTATATAATTACTATGAAAGTTTAAGTTTACCTGTTCATAAGACACAATTTCACTACTTTTTACTAACTTGCATCAAAAGTTTGCATCAGTCCAGTGCTTGGTGGCAATTGTGTTCTGAGCAACCAAGATACAGGAGGCTGAAATGGTATCCCCCAGCAAGAGAAATGGGAAGGACAAGCAAAGACAGCAAGGGACTGGTGGAGGGCAGACAGACAGACAGACAGACAGGCAAGCAGGCAGACAGACAGACTTACCCTCCTTGCCACAAACTCCGGGTCTCGGAGCCGGCCTCTTTGTGTGGGCAACAGACGCCTTTAGGGAGGCAGTGCCCGGCACAATGCCATTGGCAGCTTTGCTGGTGAACTTAGTTCCCCCGTCCTGCAGCCTGGACACCAGCCTTCCTACATCCACCTCCGCACACTGGTCAGGCTTGCCTTCTGGACCGGCCTTCCCAGGGTCGAGCTCTCCCGCCCTCTGTGCAGGCAGCCTGCTGCGCTGGAGCGGCCTAGGAGCTTCGGGGTAGCAACCGGGTGTGACTGAGCCATTGGGAGTTGTGCCGAGGCGGCCACCTGCTAAGAGAAGGCCCCAATCCCGTTCATGGCCGAGATCTTGCATGATGCACACAGACCAGTTCCTAACAGTCTTGCTCCCCATGATTGTGGAACAACATCTCCAGGAAAGTGGGCCCGGCCCCCTAACTTTCCACCTTCAGGAGGCACTCGAAGACTATATTTGACTAGTTTTTCATTTGACAGTCCTGGCTGAGATTTTAAACTGTGGTCTTTTATGAGTTTTTTAAAATACCATTGTTTTATTTAACTTGTCAGCTGCCTTGAGTCCTGCAAGGTAGAAAGGCGACCAATAAAAGTTTCAAATACATAACTCCTAAATAAATAACCTGGTGGGGGTGGGGGTCCGGGAGAGGCTGCCATGCAGACGTTGTTGACTGTACTGGCAATTCTTTCAAGCCAACGGGTTCATTTGCAGCCAGGCAACTGGGCTTCCCTTGGTTGCAGACAATTAGTCAATGCAAACAAGAGAGACACTCCTTCAAATACAGGGCTGACTAAATGTGCTATTCCCATCGCTCAGTTATTGCTCAGTTACCTATGCATCTCGACTCTAATTAGCTCTTCCTGGCAACCTGTATGTAATATTTGAGAAAATCTGTTTCTGTATCTTTGAAGAAGTGTGCATCTACACATGCAGAGTCTCTCTGTTCTCGCATGGACCCAGGGTTGAGCTTGGTTGGTCTTCGTTCTCACGTCTCTTTGTTAACTCCTGCATTTGCAGGCCCGTAGCTACCACGGGGCCCACCCCCCTGCAGTTTTTAGGGGCCCCATCCTCAGCTCCCCCTCCCTCCACCCGTCACTGCCCTCAGCCGAACAGCCAGCGGGGAGGGGCCCCAGCTGAGCCCTGCAGCTGCTCTGCACACCATGTAGCCGGGGCTTCCAAGTGCCCCCACTCGGAGATGGACTGGGGTGACCGCTGAAGCAGCTGCGCCGTGCCCGCTCGCCCAGGTCCGGAGGAGCCCGGCTCGCTCCCCCTTCCCTTCCCTCCCCACTTTCGCTCACTTGCAATGGAGGGAGCCAGCGGGGGCAGCGAGTAGGCAGGAGGCGAGTGGCCGGGGAGCCTGCAGGCGCACCAGAGGAGCAGGCAGCCAGCCAGCGAGCCCCACGCTGGCCGCAGCAGCAGGAGCAACGCTACCACCTAGGCTGGAGTGAGCCTAGTGAGGAGCCCATAGCCGCCCCGTCCTGCTCTCTCTCGCCGTCCTGCTTCGTCACAATCGCGGATAGACCGTGCGAAGGAGGCATCTTCTCTGCCCGGTCTCCAGAGCCATCCCGCTTCTCCGCTGCCCAGCTTGGCTGCCGACCCCTGCCTTGGTGGATACTGTGACGCCCTGGGCTGTGGGGCCCCCCCGCCCCCAAAACTCCTTAGCTACACAGGGCTGTGCATTCGTGTCCTAATTTGCTGCCATTCAGTGATCTTGCTGCCTTGATCCAATCTCAGCTTCACTTATGCATCTTAACTCTGACTGGTCCTTCCTGATGCTTCCACCCCTCCCCCATCTTCCGGTATGTAAGACTTGAAGAAATGTCATTTCAGTTTGTCTGAGGAAGTGTGCTTGCACACGAAAGCTTGCACCTTAAATAAAACTTTGTTGGTCTTAAAGGTGCCACTGGACTCAAGCTGGCCGGCTCTTGAAGATAAGAAGTTGCTGCCAACGTGGCAAGATCCTCCCAAGTTTCAATTTGCTGCAAAGTAAGCAAACTGCACACCCACAGCCCATGGCTGGGAAAGCACACCCATCAGCATTCCTGGGGCCGTGTGACTCATCGTCCCGCATTCTCCCAGTGGTGCCTGGGGCCTGGGTTGCCATCCACCCAGTTTCTCACAAGAAGATTCCCTCTCTGCAAGGCAAGTTCATCATCCTGCGATCTGGCAGAAGAAGCAGCCCAGCTCTGCTTTTCCCAAGGCAGGCTGTTGCACAATGCCGCCCTGTTCCCCATTTGCTTGGCTGCTGTCCTACACAAGCTATGTAGATGCTGCAAAGGCAAATGATTTTGCACCAGCGAATCTGCATGGCCCCCGGCTCCTGGGACAAGCATATTTAATTCAGAAACAGCAAGACACAAAGAAGTTAAAAGAATACAGGAAAAGCCCTGCTGGATCAGATCAGTGGTCCATCCTGTCTCACACAGTGTCCAACCAGGTCCTCCGGAAGTCCACGCAATGGGGCACAGAGGCCGAGGTCTTCCCCCAATGTTGCCTCCTGGCAACGGTATGCAGAGGTTTGCGGCCTGTGGACGTGGAGGTTCCCTTTAGTCACCACCATGGCTAGTAGCCACTGAGGGACCTTTTCACTACGAATCTGTCTAATACCCTTTGTCATACCCCAATCATCACCCCCGGGGGCCAGTCCCAGGAGGACATGCTGGGGACGACAGCTTGAGCCCACGCCACCCAAGACCCAGGTTTCACGGGGCTGCTCCATTTGCCCACCCCTGGCTGTTTAACATCGAGATGACACCCCTGGGAGAGACCCCGCACTGATCTGAAGGGAGGTGACATCCGTAGGCAGAGGACGCGTGGCTCTGCTTCTTCTGACCTGGACGGGCGCCTGGCCATGGGACTGCGCAGGATGGACGGGGGCCAATGAATGGAAGTTTAGTCCTGGCGGCTGGAGGCCGAGCAAGGACGGCAGGAGATCATTTGTTCGTTTTCATTATTCATAGGCCACCTTTCTCATCACTTGGACTCAAGGCAGATTACAGAGAGAGTGAGTCAATATAATGAAGAGGATAGGAGATTAAACAACGTAACAGGATTAGGTTTGTAGAGCCAACCAGAAATCTAAAAACAGAACTGAAGCAAATCTCAAGCATTAACATGAGACACTGAATGTTGCAAAAATCACACAGTAGGATCCTAGTTTCCGGCCAAGGCAGCACTCCCCGTAATGATGCAGCCGGGGCTGCTCCCACCCACCCCTGAGGCGACTGCTAGAGGAGCGGATCCCTGCAACACACGTGGTGCTTTTAACCGCCTGGGGCTGCTTTGCCAGCTGCGGCCTTTCCTTGAGAGCAGGACTTGTGCACAGTTCTCCCCTGCTCCGATTACAGTGTGGCTGGACGACAGCAAGGCATTCTGGGTAGGGAGAGCTATGAAGCTTACCCAAAAGGCAGCTGCTGCCCTGCCGGCAAGTGAAAATTACAGGGGGATCATCTGCTTGCCTGCTTTAAGAAGTCTCCACCAGCCACTGTGCCCCGCCCCAAGACACACAATTCGAAGGGCTGACTGTTACCTAGGCAAGTGGCCTGGGACCATGGCGCCAGAGACCCTCTTCCCCCGTATGATCCCTCCCCCAAGTTGAGGCCATCATCAGAGGCCCCCTCCCCCACCTGCCCCCCCCACTTTCTTGGGCAGGTGGGTGAGCACCAGAGACAATGCCTTTCCAGCAGCAACACCTGGGCACCCCCCCCCCCCCCCCCCCCCCCGAGCAGCTGGCCTGGCACTGAACTGGCTGGCTCTCAGAGGCCGGACAAAGATGTCCTGATTTCCTCAGGTCTTTTAGAGTTCTCTTCCAGAGACATTTTCAGCTGTTGTCCATTTTTATGTTCCCTGAAGGTTTTTTAAAAGAAAGTTTCATGCAGCGCTGCATTTATGATGTTCTAAGATCTTTATCCTAAAGTTAATCTAATTAAAAATTTGTCATTTCTTCCACCATTTGTTGCTGCCATTTTTATGCATTTGGAGGATGTTTTATAGTTATTCAGTATGTTGTGAGCTGCCCTTGTGATATATATGAACACGCACAAACTTTTTAAATAGAATAAAATGCTGGCAGAGATCCAAAGACGTGCTTAAGGCCGGCGCAAGGAGTTCACTGGAATGCTGAACTTTTCTTTCTTTGACTGGCTGACCTCTCTTCCACCTCCCAAGTCCTCTCCCAAAGTGCTTTTAACCCGCTCTGCAATTTTACTGGGGGGATGGGGGGACGGGACTGCTTGCGAAGCAGAGGTCTCAAGCCCTCCTTGAGCTCGCCCGGCTTGTCCCCCAGATCCCGGCTGTTATATCAGACACATCCTGAGCTCATTTTTATCACATTTCTGTACAAGCTGCTCCTCTTGCTGTGGGCACTGATGGCTCCACTGCCTCCTTCCTGCCCACAGACAGCTAGTGGCCCATCCCTCTCTGCTGCATCCACCTCAAACAGCCCCCTCCCCATGGAGGGCCAGCTGAATTCAAACGGCAGCCTAACACTGAAGGAAGCCTCAAGAAAAGTCTGAAAACGGACAAAGCATCTGACATACAGCTCAACTAACCTTCATTCTCTTCCACAGACGCTCCGAAGAAGATGGGCCGCTCCCTTAATGGGCGCTTGGAAATGGTGATGGGCTTGTGCCTCCGAGTGGCCACCCGTGGGGGAGGCACTGGGGGTGCAGCATTATCCTCAGGGGGCCCGGAATATATCTGGTGGGGACAAAAGATCAAGTAGCAAAGGGTGAAAGATCTAAAAAAATTGATCCACACAGAGATCTCTTGCATCTCATTTGGTTTGGCTCTGCTGTCATTGGAGAGAGGGAAGCAACATCCATTCTGCAGCAACCTGCCTGCCTTCCAGAAGGCACAAGCAACTTGGCCACATCTGTTCCCTGCAGTCACATTACCCCTCTTTGGCTGCAGTGCGAGAGAACGTAGCCCTGACTCTATTCCTCATTCTTTCCCCTCTCAGCACCTGCCTTTTGAGTACGGTGAGCAAAACGTCTCCCCCTTGCATGCAAGCAGGCATAGCCCCAGAGCGGAGAATGAAAAAAGGGGGGGGGGGAGCATTGCTCACACAGAATAAAGGAAGTCCAGCTACAGTGACTGGGCACATTGCTTGGGAAACAGGCGCTCTACACATGGAGGCGCCTACGAGGCTGCTCTGCTTTGGCGGGAATGAAGCCTGGATGGCCAAGTCAGATCACCTCCCGAGTCCCTCCCCTTTCTGGCCACGCTGTTTTCCTCCCCCCCCCCCCCCCCCCGGGTGGGCTGGGAGAAGCTGACGGCAAGGGTACCAGAACAATGGCCATTTCCAAAAATTACTGAAAGCTGTTGTTTTTAGACATCGGACTAATTATATTAAAGAATGATGCATATAACTGGTTGGATAAATTTTTAATACACCTTTCCTGGCGAGTGACACAGTTGAAATCTGTAGCTTAAACACACACTGGTTCTTGCACCCTCGTACATTTTAAGGTCTGACGGACACCCATCCCTGAGTGGCACCACAGCCACCTTTTCTCCACCCACATCAGGGGTCCCCATCGTGGTGCCCACGGGCACCCTGGTGCCCACCGACGCCTCCTCTGGCCAGATGTTTTCAGGAAGTGGGCGGGACCAGGTGGGGCTTTTGCCCAGCAAGGCTTCTGGTTGGTTATTGGAGATCTGACTGGCTGTGCAGATTTTTAAAAACATTGTGTTGGCAGCAGATGCCACCAGGGCCCCAGGGTCCGCACTGTGGGGCTGAAGATCAGCTGCGGCAGCCGTTTTTTGCCTGCCTCCGCCTCCTGCGGTGGCTGTTTTGTTGCTACACCCACCGTGCCATGTCAGAACTCCAAATGTGCCCACAAGTTCAGAAGGGTAGGGGACCCCTGATCTACATTCATGGCCCAAGTCCACCATGCGACGAGAGCAAGTGTGTTCTGGAAAACAGTTCCAAAGCATGGAGAAGAGTAGCAACAGAAGCACAAGCAAAGAATTAGAAGCTGCATTCACAAAGCTGTGACAACCCCCCCAGCCCCCTTTTCGAAAGTCTGGTTGGAAAGCTGCCACCACTGAACCCTCGCTGAGAAGTGGGCCCTGTGCCCGATGAAGTGAAAGCTGTATTTAAACTATTCATAAATGCAGAGAACTATTGACCTAATCTCAACTTTGCAGATAAGGGTTTGTGTAATGTCAAGAGTTGTTTCCAGAAGGATCAAGTTTTTAATTTAGCTGTAGTGCTCAAGTTTAAACTGTCAAAGCAGTAATTACCCACCCTGAGTCAGGGAACAATTTCCCTGTCCTTTGAGTTTTCATAACGTGCAGCATAAATAATATATCATACCTGCTTCAAGCTCATTTGAAGTGTTTGCTTATGTGTGAGTGGAAACATTTTCGACTCTGAACCCACATTTATAAGCCGCAAGTCTAATAAAATGTTACTAGCTTAACCTTATCACTGCAGAAATTAAAGGCCAGAAAGTAGTAGTCTGGCTGTTTAATTAAAAGACCTCATTCCAGAGATTAGAAATAGCGAACAGCTTTCACGTTGAGCCATGTGCTTCAGGGAATGTGTCAAGGTGGAAGGATGTGAGAAGCAGGTTTTACCTTCTCTCATTTCAACGGGAATGGCTGGTTGGAGACACTTCTTGGGAGCAATTCTGAGTCACTCTAAGGTCAGAGCCTGGACTACTTTTCATCAATCCTAACAGCAAATAAAACTGCTCCATTGAAAATGCTCCGCAGGTGGGCTCTGTGGTCTCTCCCCCCAACTCACACGGCCCTTTCCTCCTGTCACCCACTCTGGTCCCCATCTTAGCTTTTTTTCTCTGTCCAGGGTTTCCCTGAAGCGGTCCCAGTACAAGGTGAACAGGGTTGCATCTTTCCGCAGATTGGCTGCTGGCCTCCCAATTCATGGTGCGTGTTCAATGGTTCACAGAGCTGAAAAACTTGCCAACTTCCAGTGCAGGATGCCTTGGGACAAGCTGGTGCCCTGGTCCCACTTTCTTTTCAAAAAGCCGTATCAGATACAAGGAAGCCCCATAACAGAAAAATGAAGGAACCCAAGTCCCACAAGGGAAGAGAGTTTCACCTCAGAACCACTAACAGAATCATGAAAAATGGGGTGGAATTCTGAACACAGAACCTGTTGATAGTTTGTCATATGCACCTTCAAACAGGAGGTGTCTCTCCGGAACCTGTTGATAGTTTGTCAGGAATTGTCCCTCAATCTTAAACCAGTTTGGGGCTAGAGTTCAATACATGCTATGCACCTTCAAACAGGAGGTGTCTCTCTGCATGAGATCTTTAAAGGCCACTACCAGAGTGGACATACTGGTATAGATACAGCAATGGTCTCTCTCCACATGCTATGCATGCCTTGAATTTGTTAACGAATTCTAGTTTAGCAGTCTTACATATAGGTGTGCAATTATTTTTCTCAGTATTTTTCAGTTTGGGTCTATTGGACCAGAAAAAAGTTTGGGATTCCCAAAAAACCCCAGATTACAATACCAGTAAAGTATTCAGATACGAAATTTTTCAAAAACCTGAAGTTTTCAAGGTCCAATAGACCCAAACCGAAAAACACTAAAGCAGCGGCAAAGCCAGTAAAAACAGCTGAAAGCCAGCTCAGCTGGGGCTCTTTTGGGCAGTCCTTTTAACCCAGACTGCCCAAAAGAGCTTGCCAAGAAGCTGATTCTGTGGGGATAACTCTCCCTGCAGGCTCTGCTGGGCAGCCAGTTTAGGCTGGATTGCCCAGCAGGGCCAACCCAGGAGCCAATCCTGTGGGGAGAACTCTCCCTGCAGGCTCAGCTGGGGCTCTGCCAGGCAGCCCAGTTTAGTGCAGCCTCGCCTGGGGCTCTGCTGGGCAGCCCGGTTTAGACTGGATTGCCCAACAGAGCCCACCAAGCAGCCAATTCTGCGGGGAGAGTTTTCCTCGCAGGCTCTGATGGGCAGCCCAATTTTGCTAGTAATTCCCAAATATATCTGGGATTTTTTCGGGGGATTTTTTCAGTTCTTCCCAAAAACATTTAGGAAGCAGAAATATACCCGAAATATACTGATAAAGTGTTTTTCGGGCATATTTTCAGTTTGGGTAAAACTGAATGCACACCCCTGGTCATTGCTGATCTATGATTGGCAGTTCTCCTACAGAGAAGCTTCAAATGAAGACTGGGAAACTAGGATTCTTGACGGCTTATACCTTTTGGGAAATGTTGCTGGTCTCTGAGGTGCTCCTAGACTTGAACTCTGTTCTGCTCTAGATGTTTAAGAAGAATGGCACTCTGCAGAAAGAGCCGGCCAAGGCAGGACTTTGCCTTGGGAGGTGTCGTACCTTGTCAAAATGCTCTATGAGGATCTCCACCACAATGTTTTGGAACTTGATGTTCATCATGGCTGCAACCGTGTCCTCCTGAGCCCGCATGAGTGTGGGACCAAACACCACTGCCATGTTGGATGGAGTCATCAGGTTCTCCCTGCTATGTGCACACACGCTGCCAGGAGGAGAAGCAAAAGGAGTGAATCAGAGGGGTGTCCTATCAGGGAATCTGGGGCTTCAGCCATGAGCCAGCTGGCTAAGGCTTCTGAGCACCCTTCATGTACCAAAAGGAAAAGGGCAATAAAGCATCAGACCCTGTCAGCGGGAGGCAGGATTAATCCCCTAGTCTGACGGACTGTGGAAGCCCAGCAGTGATGGACGTCCCTTAAAACAGGCTTCAAAATGCTGCACTATCAGAGAACCGGGAGGTGAAGAGTTAAATCTCCCCAAGAATGGAGAGCTTTGAGTGACAGGCTACTCTGAGCACTCTGACTGGCCAGCTCCAGCTAAGGGCGGGAGATTCTTATTATCCGGGTGCTGCTGAGGGGGGAGGGGCATTATTCAGACAGATTCCTGATGGGAGAGAAGAGAGACAATTTTGCACCTTAACTGTTAAAAATCCACTCTGAGGAAGAATTCAGTGGAAGGGCGGAAAGAGTCGGAGTCTCAGCCCAGGCTGGAGGCAGTTTTACACAGACAGAAGAACTGGGAATGAGATTTGGCAAGGTTGTTGGGTAGTGAGATGAGAGACTCCCATTCAGGCCAAAGGGAAGGGGACAGAGACCTTCTAGAAAAAAGAAGAAGAATCCCTGCCCAGTTGCACAGGGAGAGAGTTATCTCTGCGAGGAGGAGGAGGAGGAGGAGGAGATCCCTGGTCTGTTGTGGAAGGAAACTGCCTGAGGCCCCTCAAGAGCTACACAGAAATTAGGGATCAAAAGGAGGGCAGTTAGGTACTGAAAGAAGGTTCCAGCCTCAAGAAAATAAGAGGAGAAATAGGAAACTCCATTAAGAAACATTGTAGTCTTGGGAAAACACAGGGGATAAAGCCTCTCGATATTAAGATCTCAATAACTAAGAAAATAATCTTCAATAACTCTCATTTGCCTGTATGAAGAATTGCCATCTGTACAATCACTGGTCTTTGCCTCAAAGTTAACAACCCCTGGTTACACATGGCCTTCCCCTGTCTTCTAAATAAAATCTTTTGCTCTATTTGACTTTTACATGGTCCCAAGTGCCATTTGAAAGGGTTCAACCCAAAAGAGGGCTCCTTATTCTTCCCTCGGGCTCCGGGGCTGGGCTAAAACACAGATTATATCTCTGTGACGGGGTGGGGCAGAGAGTCTTTTAAAGACAAGGAAGAAAACTACGTTACTTGGGGTGGGTCAGGCACAGAAGGGAATGAAGTTTTTTGGGGACAATCTACCTTGGAGGGAGGGAAGCGTGAGGGGCCGTGTCATACCCGCCTTCTCAGAGCAGCATGTCAGCCCAGGACCCCACTCTGGCTCCAGCTCCAGAAACTGATCTCAGGCACCCCAGGGCAGAAAAACACACTCTCACTAGATATTTCTTTAAAAAGCACCGAAGCGCAGCGCCACCTCCCCCTCCTCCCGGGCAAGCAGTGCACAGGCACTGGGAGGAGCAGTCAGCTCAGCTGGAGGATGAAGCGGCTGCTGCTGTTTCACGCCTGGGCTCCGCGACACCTCCTCCCCAGGGCAAACGGCGGCACACAGCATGCTCCCACTGGGAGGAGCGCCCAACTGGAACGCAAAGAAGCAGTGGCTGCTGCTTCAGGCCTGGGCTCCCGTGGCACCACCTGCTCCAAGCCCAAACGGTGGCTGCCAGGTGACCCGGACAGTCCCATATTTTCACTGACTGTAAGGGGGAAACACTGAAAAAATACTGCACATTTAAATGTCCAGTGTTTTTTCAATCCCCCCTCGCCGGACAGTCAGTGAGAATACCAGACTGTTCGGGTCAATACCAGGCAACTGGCGACCTTATTCTTTATGTACTAGTTTGGGGAGAGCTGCCCACCTCCCTGGCCTGGCCCTCGAGTGACTGCCTGCCCACAGGGCTCTGAAGGCGTTTTAGCTTTCAATGGTGTGGAGGGGTGGTGGTGGCTGAGACAGGCAATGGGGCTGCTGCAGGTCCCTCTGTTGGCTGGAGAGACGACCAGGAGGGGCAGAAACCGGGCACTGCATCTGGCCGCCCCAGACCCCAGCAGGCCTGCTTGCCGACAGCCATCCACACGACACACACGTCCACAAACACTGTGTTGTGAACAGAAAGGAGCAGAGAAGGCCGGATGAGCAAAACAACGAAGAGCTGTGTATGTGTGTGTGTCTTAAACAGGCAAGGAGACAGGAGTGTAGCAACTCAACTTTGCAAAAGATTCATGGCTTTCGAGAAACAAAGAGGGTTCCCCCCCCTTTCAGTGGCCCATAAATACTTAAGTTTCATTCAACACTGCCAGCTATCAAATGATTTACAAACCAAGGCAGGGCAGGCTTTCATGGCATTTTTAGCAGTCATTTTTGGTATCCAGCTCTAAATTTAAGTCCTGGAAAAATCCCACCCACAGAAGGGGATCGGCTGAAGCTCTGGGCCTTCACCAGCAAGGCTGGGGGATGAGGTACGCGGCCTCCTCTGTGACGGCTCCAGGAGCCACTCCTTAGGGGAGCTCACCAGGCTACGTCACTCATGGCAATTCCCAAGCTGTGTCCCATGAGAAATATAAGGGGGTTAATGGCCCCCCAAACATATCCAAGCACAAAGGAGGCTGGCCACAGCATCTCGGCATGAGTCACTGCTGCACCCCTCCCTCGCTTCCTTCCTGATTGCCTCTGCTGGGACAAGTGGTTCTGCCACATCTCTGCAAAGAAAGATCCACACTTACACATTGTGGGGGGGGGGCGCAGCAGGCAATTCTAATTTTTACACGTACAAACAGAAAAACTTTTTGGTATCCAAGTGAATTAAGCATACATTAATTCAGAGGAGAACCTGGGCTGCAGCAAATTTGGGAAACTCTGAGTTATGGCTTTCAGAAGTATGGCAAAAATGGTAGTTCCATAGGATTTTGGTGTTTGGCTGGTGCTATGTCCATTTTCATTTCTGCTCTTTGGTATTTCTGGATTTGCAAGTTCAGGTATTTCGGGATGCTGGTATTTTGATTTACGGCTTTTACAGATGTCAATGCTTTTTATCTATTAATATGGATTTTTCTCATAAACTAACTCAAGAAACTGTCAGAAACAAGACTTCTTTAATTAATTTATTAAAACATTTATATTGTGCCTTTCCTTGTAGTTCAAGGTAAATTACAATAATAGTTAAAACATTTCCAGCTTAAAAAACAAAATATCCAACCCCAAATCTCTCTTCCTCAACAGGTATCTGCTAATTGGAAACTGAAACGCCCTCAAAATCCCTGCCAAAGGGGCAGGCCTTGCAGCACCTCCTGAACGTCTCTAAGGAGCACCCCCCCCCCCGATCCCCAGAGCCATGAGAGAAAAGGCCCTGGGGGGGCTTTGGTTGAGGCCAGACGGGCCCATCCAGTGGGGGGGGGGGGCAGCCAACAGACGCCTGTGGGGCACAGGTAGACACGGAAGGAGAGGACCCTAAAACTGGAATTCTACTTCCTGTCTGCTTAAAATTTGGAAGGGACATTGCCTTGGATGAGAGACACGAACCCCAACTTGCTCATCAAAGCAAAGAAAATAATGGAATGCAAAATTAATATAATGAAATCGGTAGGAGTGTCTTGGCCTCGATGCCCTACTTGCTGGCCTTCTAGGGCAAATGGTTGTCCTCTCTGTGAATGATGCTGGCCAAGATGGACCACTGATCTGATCCAGCAGGGTATCTCTATGTTGAAAAGGAACGTGGAAACATTAAAAAGACTTTTGGCATTGCTTGCGAAGCCCTTTCTGTTTGTTTAAACGGCCTTCTCTCTCAACGCACCCTCCCTCAGCAGTGGCATTCTGTAGCTAGGCCTAACTGACTACAAAGCATCACGTCATCCTGCTCCTGGTCCCGCTCCCTCTCCGCCAGGAGCATCGACATGAATAACCTGGGAAAGAGAACACACAGCGGTAATGGGGTGGGGGGGGTCTGTGTCTGGAGCTATGGGGCCGAAGCGGGTTAGGGGAGCAACGGCACTACACAATATGCAAGACAAGATGACATGTTTCTCTTGCTCTTCGACAAGGAACCAGACGGATGTGGGACAGCAGCAGCAGCAGCAGAATGAAATCACAGCTGCCCAGCCCCAGAACAGCCGCTGACCCCGGTTGGATGCCAGTCCCTCTGCTGCACCCGCACGCTTGGCCCCCGAGCCCCAACACAGCCCCCCTTTTGGCATAAATGTCAACTTACTGGACGAGATGCCTGATGAGAAGTTCCAGCATCTCCCGGTTCTTGTCAGGGAGTTTATAGACCAGAGAATGAATGGCGCCCAGCCTGTAGTCCAGGTTCTCAGATTCTGCGGGGTGGGGGGGGGAGAGAAGAAAGAAAGAGAGAGAGAGAGAGAGAGAGAGAGAGAGAGAGAGAGAGAGAGGTTTGGGCTTGAGATCAGCATGCTGGACGTTTTCAGGGATTTCAGCTGAAATCTGAAGGGAGGGGCATAATCTGGTGAATTCCAAGCAGAAGGGCAGTTTCTGGACTGTATACAATAAATTACCCCCAAAAAGTAGAAAGAATCACGGTGAGGAACGACAGAGGTGTTAGGGGTATTTCAAGCAATCTCAAACTGACTGGACAGGGCAAGGAAAGAAAAAGCGACCAACACCTAACCCCCCCCCAAAAAAGTCCCTTTGAGGCCTGGTCAGTCCTCGAATACCTTGGTGAGTCCTCGAATGGATGGGCTGCGAATTCTGTGGCCACCCCTCTGTCGAACCTGCCCCCGAGAGGACGGGAGCCTTTTAGCACCAAGCCCAGCTCAGCAGGTCCCCGGTCGCTCTGCCATGGCAACGGCTTTCTGCTGGGCTGGCTCGAGCCCATCTGCTTGCACCCGCCTGGTGGGAAAGCGGGTGTTCTCGCCTAGCTGTGCAGGTGGCTGTGTCAGTGCTTCGCGGCACGTTTCTCCTTAGCAGCAGGGCTGCTCCACTGGCACCACGGCCACCCCCAGACAGAGACCGGAAGCTGGGGCCCCACAGGCTGCTTCCTTTCACTTGCTCGGAAAAGGCCCCTGCTTCCCGCTGGCTCCCAGGCAGGCAGGCAGCAGAGACCATACCCAGTGGGAACCATTTCCAGCAATCAGTTACGGGGAAAGGAGCTCATATGCTGAAGGCAGAGCAGCTAAGGAAGTTCCCACTGGATACTGCCTCTGCTGCATGCCTGGGAGCCAGCTGTCCAGACGCGGGAAGCAGCAGGGAAGCTCACTCAAGACGGCTGGACTCTGGGTTGCCAGGCTATTTGTTTTTACATGGGAATCTTGTCCCAGGAGCCCAGCACACATTAGGACCGCCAGGCCAGCTGAAACGCCTCTGAGTTAACTAAGCGGGCTGCTTGAACGATGCACCGGGCACAACAGCCACATGGCAGACCCTTGGTGCCAGAGCAGCAGGGCAGGGTTCCCTTCTTCCTGGGTTACAACCGGAAGCACATTCAAAAAGATTCTCGTTCTTTTCTTCCCTCCAGGAGACCCGGAAGAGGCAAGGGTCCTCCTTGCAAACCTGGGAGGCCAAGTTCATCCCCTCTGCTTCCCTCTGCTCAGACAGCTGGAGCCCAAGGCGGGACCGGCCAGCCGAGGCTGCCTCTGGGAATCCGGGTGTGCCATGATGGCCCAGCACTTCCCAAGGGAGGAGGTCACTGCCCAAACAGGGGCAGGTCGGGATGGAGGCGGGGGGGATCAGGGCTACGAAGGACTCCACAGCTCCAAGGGGCCGAGAGCGGAGGATGCACCTCACACACTGACTTCATGTACTGAGGCCCATCCCAGCCCTCCTTGTGCCTTACGAAGAGTGGCCTGGCACTACTGGCCATGCGATTCTCTGGTGAGGGCCAGGCACATCGGGAACACCCGTGCATTCACCCAGCTCCCCCACCCTAGCCGGTGCAGATGCAACACCAGCTAGTGAAGGTGAGCCTGTAAGTCAGGAAGTGGCCTCGAGAGTGTGTGCCCTCCCCCCACATGCCCTCCCCTCCCCAGAGCTAACCCCCCCCCTTCCCATGAGCTGCAGGTAAACAGGATGTCTTAATGGGGCTACTGTTACTTTGGGGGTGCAATTCCACATCCTGGATAAAGGGAGATCCTGGGTAGCCTTCACTAAACATCAACAATAAAAACCTAAACTGTAACCAAAGGGAAGGGGGGCCGCGACACTTGCTGAGATGCATCTGTGATGAGCACCTATGCAGCTTGGCGCCAGACTTTTGCACCCCTTCGAACACAGAGTGTGCCGCTGAGCAATGCTCCCTCTAAGCTGTGGAGTCCCGTGAGCAAAAATTCTACGTTGTGATCTACCGGCATTCAAGTTGTGAGCGAGCAATTTGGCTGCTGCATAAATTAGTCTGCTCTGGAGCCCTAGGACAAAAATGTGTGAGCCAGAGGCTAAAAAACGGTGAGCAAGCTCACACTAACTCAGCTTAGAGGGAACATTGCGGCTGAGGCGAACTGGTTTGGGAGGCCTTGAAGCAAGGTCCCATCTGCTGTGACAACTGAAGGCAGGCAACTGGGAAACTGCTGCTTATTTCCCTCCCACAAACTGGGATTCTCAACTGGGATTAAACTGTGGTTAGGAATCCTACTTTGTGGGGTGGAGGCCAATACCAGTTTCCCAAGGCACCTGCATGCAGACTGGAGCTTGATTCAATCCTTCCGTGGCCCCAAGGGAGAAGGGCACCCGACTGGGTCTGAGTCTCTGAGGTTCACTGTGATGTCTGAAAGCAGCTCCAGCCAACAATCTCCAGCAAAGATTCGGTACCCCAAAACTCGTTCTTCTCCCTAGAAGCAAAAAAAATACATTTCCAGGAAACCATTCCAGTATTTCCCCACTTCCCTCTGGCACATACTGGCAGCTGAGACCAATTCCTTGTGAAGTTTGTATGTCATGACAGGTTCAGAGAGGTTCCTGCAAAAAGGGGGGGGGGAACAGAAAGAATGCAGAGTTCATCAGGAGACAGCAAGGCACAGCTGTGCACTACTCTCAATTACTACGGGAGAATCTGGAAATAAAAAATGCCACTTTAATTCCACTGAGAAGGCCATCTGGCACCCCATCTCTAGACTTTCTAACAGTTGTCAAAGTTGCCTATGATGCTTCGGCGAAAAAACACATCTCTTCCACAACAGACCCTCTCTGTGACCACGCAATAAATGCTTCTTTCCCTGCTTCTGCTAAGTACATGAGGTCCTCGGTCCACTTTCATGTGTGCACAGCACCACTTCGACCCGGCTTCTGCTGGTCCAAGAGAAAGGCAGAGAGCGGACTGGCATTTCTCAATCAGAGCACGCCTATTGTGCTCGCAGCCCAAGTGGGACAGAGCTGCCTGAAGCATCCAAGGGACTCAGATACCAGTTTGTTGACATCGCTGCAAATGGGGCAGCTTTGCTGTGAACTTCTTGGACAAAATATCACCACATGGACCTGCCATGTGCCACTGCAAGCAAAGCAGAAGCTGAGACCACACACACTGGTTCCAAGTGGGCAGTGGTGAAAAAGCGGCTCTCCAGAACGCCCACGTAGTGCCCCACGAAGCCTGAGAGTTCCGTGTCTTCCTGGCTTGTGCTTTTTGCTGGACCCCTTCTGGTCCCAGCCAGTAGTCTTCCCCATGCTGCAAACCCCACAGAGGCCTGGGAGTGCGCAGAGGAGAGATAGAAGGGGAGAGGAAAGGGAGGAGGGGGGCTGGGATGGGCTCGAGCCAGCCCAGTTCCAGGTGGGAGAGCCTTCACCCAGAACTGGTGACCCAGGAGTCCTCCCTCAGTTGCTACCAAGCAGGAGATTTTGTGCACAGTTCCAGCCTGGGGACCTGTCCAATTAAAGCAGCTCTAAGAATGCCAAGTGGGGCAAGGAGGGTGTTTTCTCCACTGCTGCAGGGGCTGCAAATCAGCCAACTTTACCAACTGCCATCTGGAAGGAGCACCAATGCTGACATTTTTGCAGCTACGGCAGGAAGAAGGTCAACAGGTAGAGCCGTTCATTGCTGGATGAGACCCTGCCAAGCCTGTTCAATGTACCTCCTGGCCATGCAGCTGTTAAAGCACAGCAGGCACAGCTGCCCGTCTGATGTCAGACTCCAGCAATAGCTTCTTCTGCGCTTGCAAGTCAAGTCCACACGGACTCTTTCCTTGCAACCGCTAGAAACTTACCCACAGCTAATTTTCAAGTGCTTGTTTCACCCAGAGGCGTGCCACTTTTCACAAAAGGCAAAGCATGTGAGAAAGACAGTCTCCTTGTGCTGCGCTCCCTTTTCTATAAATACAGGCACCCTCTTAGCACTGACTCCAGCAGGCATCAGCCAGGTAACTGCTTGGCATCCACCCTGTGCTGAAAGGGCAGAAGTTGTCGCAGGGCACGCCCTCCTGAACGGGACGGGGAAGCCCCTGGCTCATTCTGTGCGTGGGGGGGGGTATAGATGGTGGGCAGAGCCGCTAGGGCTGAGTGCCCCTGCTGTGGCCCGGAGCTCAGAGTTCGCTTCCTGCCAACCTCACCCTTCACTGTTTAAAAGACAAGCTTCTAGGCCTCACTGCTGTCAGGACGTCTTGGGAAGTCTGAGGCCCCCACGGAAGGGCAGAGGTTCAAGGGAGCACTCACTGCTCTGTCACCCCCCCCCCACAACCCCTTGACCGCCCTCTCAATAGAAGAAGACATACCAGTCATCAAACTGCAGAATAAATTCTGTGTTGAGTAATGCATATGAGTTGCAGGATATACCTTAGTTTTAGCACACTGCCACAAACAGAACCAAAACCTTTACTTCTTCTTATGAACAGGAAACGTTTTACTAGCTTTTGCACAATAAAACAGGTTGTCTGTAAAGAGTATAGCTGGATAATCACATAATGGCTATTATGCTAGACTCTGAATCTGGCAACTTGGTTTGGAACCTGGTTTTGTGTGGGGTGTGTGTGTGTGAATATTTCAGCCTCTAAGATCACATTCGGATAATTTTAGGTAGCAGGAAAAGATCTCTGAGCCATTTCAAGTCGGACAGCTAAGCAACGGTTTGACTTTGCCCCAAGGTAAATTCATAGGTCCATACGATGTGAGAGACACGTGCTGTGGTTACCAGAGCGAAACAGAAAAGATGTGTTTCTCAAATGAAACTTTTCTCCTTCCAATGACCCATTTTGGGCAAGGTAGTCCATCCCAGTAGCTACAGCAGAGCAGTCCTGAAAGCTACCTGAGGTAGAATTTCAAAGCGCTGGCAACAGTCTTGATGTCCCAGTCACTGTTCTGGAGGTCCACGTCCCCTGGGCACTTGGGATCTGGGGCGAAGGAAGGAAGGAGGCAAATGAAGTCGACTCATTAAAAATGTCATCTAACTGGCCTTTCTAATATATATATATATATATATGAAGTTATTTTTCTCTTAACACAGCATGCCAAAATGGCAAATTATAAACACATCTATTCTCTCAAGTTATCAGGGTAATACTAAGAAACTGCAGCACGCAAATACCAGGGAAACTCCACTGGCTTTAAAAGGAATAACTAGTTATCAATCATTTTAAAAGGGGGTGGTTGGAGGAGGAAGAAAAGGAGGCCAAGTCGGCCTCTCCGTGGGGACGATTCCACGCTGCACAATCACACGCTGCCACTTCAAAAGGGGGGGCACTTGCACCCCCACCCTCGTGCTGCCACCAGGACACTTGGCAACTTAAAAAACCCCAAAAACCACCAGCAGCAACTACCCATATTTTAAAATGCTGTGGAGGGAATTTGGCACCAGTGAGGGTGGAGAAGTCAGAAAGTGCACACCTTCCCATCCACAAGGGGAGACCAGGACTAGATCTCCATTCAGGCATGAAGCTGACCAGGCGATCCCGAGACTTGCCGTCCCCTCTGAGGGCCTAACGGCAAAGCTCCGTTTCCCCCACACCCTCCCCAGTCTGCTCAATCAGCCGGGCACTGCGGCTTCTGTGCAGGGGGCTTCATTCCCAGGCACACGTGGTACTCAAGGCCCTGCCCCCACATGCCATTTCCCCAACCGAAAGAGGCCCAGGGAGCCGCTGTTTGCCCTGCTGGGGAACAACTGTGCACAGCCCCTCAGTTAACAGAGCGTGGATTCCACAGTGGGGCAAATGGTCCCCCTCCACAGGTGTCTTTGTGTGGGAGCAGCTTAACTGCCCCCTCCCCATGGGTGCATGGGAATTACGTTCCCAGCAAGCAACTTGCAGTGCAGACCTGATCACACAGAGGATGTGAAGGAAACATAATGTGTAATTAGGCTTGTAGCACAGCCTACTGTGCAGGGGTGTTGTGAGAGTAAAATGGACACAAGGAAAACCTGAGTATAGCACCCTGAGTCCCTAGAGGAAGGGAGAGATGGAAATGCAGTAGAAAATAATAATAGAAATCTACAGAGAATTAGGAAAAATCAGATTCTGCTTCAAAACCCAATAAGGGAAGGAGGCAGATGATGATCTAGTTTTAATTTTTTAAACTGTAAGCTTCTGGACAAGGAACAGTTTTCCTTAGTTTTTTTGTTTTTGTTCATGAAACTCTGCAAAGCATCTTCCAAATGCGGCAGCCGTGTTAACTGGCTGGATTGGAAACACCAACAGGAGTCCTGAGGCATTTCGAAGACTATGCGATTTACCAAACAGAAGCTTTTGTGGGCCTGAAGACACACTGCTGTCAGCTGTGCAGAATGGATTCAACAGAATTGGAACAAAACAGAAGGAAAGAAGGAAAACACTGAACAAGATTAAAAAGGCCATGAACTGCAGAGGACAGACTTTGTGATGTATCTATGCACAATGCGAAGGTACAGAAGAGATCATTCGCAACAGCTGCGGTTGGGTTAACACAAGTAGCCATGTGGGTTTTTTAAACACTATTGTAGCCTGGAAATTGTTATTCTAAGCTGTCTGTGGTCTGTTTTTATGAGTGATGTTGTTACGCAGGCCTGAGGCTTTTTTAATGTTGGGTTTTAATTAATGTATTTTATTGCTTTGTTTTTATTGTTTTTATTTTGTTCCTGGATAGATGGCATAAAAGTGTTATGTGTTTGTGTGTAAAGTGCTAGACCCCACGGAGGGGCTTTCAAGGCAAGGGAGAAGCAAAGGTGGTTTTGCCATCGCCTTCCTCTGCACAGCCTTCCTTGGCGGTCTCCCTTCCAAGTACTGACTCCAGATTGCTTCTGAGATCTGATGAGACTAGGCTATACCACGACACTTTCCCTCCCAAAAGTGTTACACATCTCTCCCCTTATATAAAGTTGTAGTGGGGTCCAACGTTCCAATGCACACCTACAGTGTTTGGGCGTAAGAACTGTCAGTCAGAAGACGCTGGCTGGGTTGGCTGGCTGCTTTGTGTAGTCCCGCCCACGTCAGCCCCGGCCAGCGTTTTCGGCTCAGTCTGCTCTGGGCCTCTGACAGGAGAGGACCATCTGCAGACTGAGCGCAGGGATGGGGTTTCTACGGCTGGCCCCGAAGACTCCCCGGTAGACACAAGGGGACCCAGGTAAGGGGATGGAATTGCACGGGAAACCCCAGGACAAAGCGGCAGCTGAGCTGCCTGTGCCTGTGTCTTCGGGTGGGGGTGTTCCTGGTGCGTGTGGAGGGGGAGGCAAGTCAGTGCCTCCGGCCTGAGTTCTCTCCCACCCACTGCAGCCTAGGCCACTCTTCTTCTCTGATTGGGCCAGCGTTTCAAGGTCATTTGCATATGAAAGCTGATAGGACCACACTCCTTT